TTGAGAGGCACATGTACCACCTACATCGTTAATTTCCATCATACATGTACAGGTTAACGATACGTGGACTTTTTTTTACACGCTGGCGATCCAACTTAAATTGCTCATTAGTGGAGCCAAACAATTTAATTATGGGTCCCATATGAGTTGAAAAAAAAAACGAAAGTCAATAATTTATCCTCTCCTTATCATTCCTTCCGTTCAATCTCTTCTCTCCTAGGATCCCCATCTTCGGCAAACTCAAACCCATATTCTTGTTTCTCAGGCAAACATCTATCCCTCCATCCTTGACCCATTAAACATTTCCTTATTCTAAATAATTGGTATCCCTCAAAAACCCAAAATCAAAATTCCAAATTTATTACCTTTTTGTCTCTTTCCTTGACTCCATTGTTGCTATTATCCTCTACTTTTCCCCGCTCTGTTTCACCCTATGTTAGTCAACAGAAATCTAATGGCAGCTCTGTCTCTTGCTCCCACCACCAATGCTTCTACAGCATGCCTCAGGTCAACCCTACGTACAACAACGCCACCACCACCATGGATTTCGCTACCTTTGGAGTATTCAACAAGAAGAAAGGTAGGTTATGGAATGGTTAATTTCCAACCTATTTAGGTCCAAAATTGAGAAATTGAATTTGGATCCTAAGGCTGCTCCCCCAGATTCTTATGAGGACCCATCATCATCTCCACCCTCCTCTTAGCTCTCAACGATTTTCTCCATACGACGTAAAAAACAACAATCAAATATGTTCTACATGGAGGAATCAATTGCTGGTGATTAAACATCTTGCAGGGTGATAGATTGGGGAATGTCGTTGGTTGGGGGAGAGAATAACGAGGATGAAGGCGGCGATTGGTCACCGTATGGGAGCTCGTTGAAGGCATCGCCTTGGTGGTGGAGGACACCAGCGACGACTCGACAAACTAAGGGCAAAAGCATGTCCGAAGAAACAAGAATATGGGTTTGAGTTTGCTAGAGATGGAGATCCTAGGAAGGAAGATATTGAACGGAAGCAATGATGATGAGAGGATAAATTACTGACTTTCATTTCTTTTTTTTTTCGACTCATATAGAGCCCACAATTAAATTATTTGGGTCCACTAATAAGTAGTTTAAGCTAGACCGTGAACGTGTAAAAAAAAACTCACGTATCACTGCCCTGTACTTGCATGATGGAAATTAGTGGTACACGTGGTGCATATCACCCCTTAACATTAAATATTGTTTTAGTATTATAAATTTGAATGCCAGAAGAGTATAAAATCACACATTGTAATATAAAGCGTAAAGTCTAAGACACTCGAAAAGTCGACGGGCAACGGGCATCTTGTGGGGTTTTGCCCATTTAACTATAAGTCTATGAAATGACACTCAAGTAAAACTCATGTTATACCTCATTATTTAAATTTTTTACATTTTTAATATTAAAATATCTTGATTTTAACTAATAAATTCTTCAAAATTAAATTTTGTAATGCATTTTTAACTACTACTACCATGCTCATTCAGGTTGGCTACAGAGAGTTTGAGCATTTAATACATGGTTGCTTTCCACACCCTTTCGTTTTATTTTTTGGAAAATTGACAATCCAAATTGCTTTTTGTAGGATAACAACCGTAAATGTATTCTTTAATATAACATCTAATTGCTATCTTACTGTACATGGGTTTCAATTTAATAGCTAAAATATTTTAACAACATGCGCTTGATATTTTACCAAACATTATCCTAACTATTTATCTTTGAGTTGTTATTCGAATGTATGAATCGCCAATCAAATAGAGCTTTCCTCTAAAAACAAGCAGATTTTGCGTTGCAGCATTTTTTTTTTTTT